AGAGTTATTTTCTTTTCAATGTTTTAAATATTTCTTTTACATTAAATGCACTAAAAAGAAATCAAAGCTTGAATAATAATAATAATAATGATAATTACATGAAAGATACTAAAAAAAACATTAATCATACTTTTTTTTTCACATTTAGTTGTAACGAAAAGTTAAAACTTCATCAAATCAGGGTCGTCTCAGACTTCTTTTTTCTCTTTTCTCTTTTTTTTCTTTTTTCTTTTTTCTTTTTTTCTTTTCTTCATGCTCCGCTGTACCGTTGAAGTCTGTATACTGGTTATATTACCACAAACAGAGGAACTTCAAATCACATAGTGCTCATGAATGATTCATCACATGTGCACCTGTAAGCTGCTGCTCTTATTTCCATATTTAAATTTTTACCTCATATCGTAACCATCTGTTTGCTTCTTACAAAATATATAAACATTATTTGTGCTTTTCCTATTCTTCTCGTTGCTATGACCTAGAATATTTTATTGAATTCATACAATTGATTATTCGTTTTTTCTTGTCCTGTGAAAATCTAATTCCCTGCTCTACAGTAAAAATGGCGGTTAGCTTTTACTCTAAACCGCCGATAAACCTTCACAATTCGACACCAGTTTTCAATAAGCGAATCTTCAGGGCACAAGCAGGTATTGTACTTACAGACGAAATTCTAGCGATTCTCAACCGACCTTTACGAGAAGGGCGCAGTGAAACTGAACTGCATAAGCTAAGATCTGTTGTAAATGGCTTAAAAGATATCCACAAGGGTCTACAATTTATCAAGGATGCTTTGTGCCATGTTGTTGGTTACGAAAAAGTCGGCCCGAACGTTCAAGTCAAGAAACAATCTAGTGAAACGGATTTGTCGTGTTACTACATACTGAATGGTTCTATAGAAGCGACGTACATGATCAGCCATGGCGACTCAAATGGACGTAAGAAAAAGATAAGTGGTTTTTATTCTTTACAAGGAACAGGAATTGACTGTGAAAGAAGGGATGGATATGAAATCAAGTATACACATATAGCAGGCGACTATCTTGGGTTAGTATCTGGAGATGGTCCCGAATACGATTTACCGCCACCGGACTCGATAAGAACAACTGAGGTATGTGAATTTTTACGAATAGACCGAAGCAAGTTTCACCAAGCAGTGCGAACAATCCACAGTCTTCATGTACAAGAAATTGAACACTTCATAAACAGTGGTAGCATTTTAAGAGATCTACCTCTTGAACAGAGACAACGTCTTGTATCACTTATGGCAAGACAGGTAAGGATTTTAAAATTTAACCTTCTTGCCCCTTTAATTTGAACTAAGACATATTTCTTATAAAGAAAAGTCCATAAAAAGTGCATGCACAGTACACAGTTTAAATTTGTAAATTAAAGCAAAAAAATTAAAGTCAAACGCTTTGGTTGACAAGGAAACAAAGTTTTCATTAATATTCAAACGTTTCCAGTTGACAGAAATGATTTAGAAGAAATGTAAGTGATTATTATTTGCCATGATATTAAATTGCTTTGATTGTTTTATAAAGCTTAAGCTTCTTCATTACTTCTTACAGCACGTGTACATTTTTTTTTTTTTTTTTACATATTTCGTATTGTTCTGGGCATGTAACAAAAATGAAAAAAATGTTTTAAAAACCTAAAATATTCAGAGGAAAAAATGAATTAATGCTATTAATACGTAATTATTTCGATAACAATTTGGTAAAATTTAGCAAAAAGACTAGCGAGAAAAAATGACGACGAATTGGCCATCACCAATTCAAAATATTGAATTAACTTATTAAAAAAGAAGCGGGGAAAAAAACATCGAAAACATTTCGTGAATGAAACTTTTGTCAGACAGAATAACGAAATTCACTTATATATATAGATTTCCATTCTATATCCGTTCATTCTAGCTCAAATCTTATTTTCTTATGACAGGAATACGCGGCAGGCAAAGTCATTGTTAACCAAGGAGATTTCCCAGACCATATATTTTTTATTGGAAAAGGTATGGCTTTAAGATTTGAAGCATAATGACTTTTAGAGGATTTTATAAATGTTATAATTTTAATTGTTTAGTAAATGTGTTTATTAATGTGACTTAAGTTTGCATCATAAAAACAGTAAAGGGGATTTTATTTTTCTTCATTTCAATTCTATCGATAATACTTTAGCATTACCATCATTTTTGCCTAACGTACAAGTGTTCCATCATTTTCGTTAATTATTATTCATTCAATTATTATTATTATTCTATTATCATCCTTTCTTACCTATTTGTAGTTTATAATGGGCTGACCAGCAATTTGGGCGTTGCCCTGTCTTAGAATCTCCGTTATTTTCTATTGACGAAATATTACGAGGAAATTTTTTTCAATAATGACCAATAATGGCAAAAAGCGCCAAAAACTAGACTTTCGTATGAGTTTTGATCCCAGTTTTTTAAACAGTTAGAAACTGATGTACTATAATAAAATGCTTGTTTGAAGCGGTAATTTCAATTGTACAAAGATGTTTTGTTGCATTTGTGTTAGAATGTTGCTTTGTCAGGCTTTTTTATAGAAAATATATGGGAAATAAGCAAATGAAGGCCTAAACCTCTTTTTTGAATAAAATTTCCATTGTGCCAAACCCCTGAGACATTTCCATCTGCGGAATGAATATTCTAAAGACCTAGCTATAGTAATATTTCAAGATGTTTACACGCTATGATCACCCGTTTATTGCCTTTATGTCTTTATTGCCAAATTTTGGTTAAAACTTAAGGTATCTAGAACGGTCTAAAAAAGATGTTTTTTCATGTAATAAACCAGCTGATTTTAAAATAGGTTACTGGTATTGTAAGTGTATTCGGTATGTTACTTGTTAATAATCAGTCTAGTTATTTTCTAACAGGAAGATGTCAGTTCTTCCGTCGTGTTTACATAAAAGAAGCGAAAAGACAGGAGCTCGTGAGACTTGGACACATAGAAGAAGGTTTGTATATCATTTTACTGCACCAAAAATGTTGATAAAACGGAGAAAGGAAAAAAAGAAGAAACGATAGCAAAACATTCTACCATGTAGGCGAACGCAATAAAAACTTTGTTAAAGTTCCGACAAATTAAAGTCGTTAAACATTTTGATCAGCAGTCTGTGATAGAAGGTTATTGTATACTGAAAAGAAACAACTCACATTCCCATGTTCCCAAGAAAATAGCGATATCCGTGCAGCGTCATGTAGTTAATTTCAGTATCTTATATATACATCTTGTCATTTTGAGCTTAGGAGATGTTTTTGGAGAAAGTAGTGTACTTGATGGCTCACCTTGCTTCTGTAGCGTTTCGTCAATAGGTCAAGTCAGGTGTTACCTCATCRACAAGTAAGTTTTTGATTTTTGATTTTTTTTTTTTTTCACTCCTCTTGCCCTTATATGTTGCAATAGATGCCAACGTCGTTCTCAGAGCCCATGTTCCTCTTGGTCAGCACCAAGAAACTTTTTTCGGTGCTGACCAATTAGATGAACGTGGGCTCTGGGTACACAATGAGTAGATGGCTTACAGCGCATTCGTGTAAGCCATTTTATGAATGCCGATGTGTTAGTATTATAACTTAAGTAAATTCCCTCGATTCGTTGAAAAAGTTTGAGAAATTATTCAATAGATGCTATTGAGCTGCAAACAATGAAAACGATCAATTTTCCAAGCAGCATGCATTTGAAACCGGGATAGCACATACAGCTCAAGTGTAAGTTTGTGTTAAGGTAGTTCCGGACCTTTGCTGTTGCGCATCAACTTCGCACATCTCGTTTTTTGCCGTTTATTAGCGTTGGTTTCAAAAAATTCTCCAAATGATATCTTGACTTTGACTATCTTTCTATAATCTGACAAAATAGTTCGTAATTTCATGCAAAGTTTCAGGTATGATTGGGCGTTTAGCGATACATGCTAAAATTCTATATTTGACCTGATCGGTTTCGCTTCAAAATTGACAAATATACGACTTTGTAAAAATGTATGAACAAAAAAATTTGACCTCTTCATTTCCGAAATCAATTCAAAATAGGTTTTAGGTTCCCTGGAGATTAAAAGCGCAATTTCAAAATTTCGAGGGAATGTATTAAAGTACTAGAACCCAGGTCCGTGCGGACAGCAAATGTGATTTTGGATGGAAAATTCAGATGAAGTCGCTTACAGCTCGTCTATTAGTACAGTGACCACTATTTTTTCTTTGCATTCAAGGTTTTGAATATTAATCTTTCAGTGAGAGAAATAAAAGTACTATGTCGTCCACGCTGTGGATCACACCGAATTCTCGACATATTTATAACAAGGAACGTATTTTGAGTACGGTTTTGCTTCTAGAATTCAGTTCCAAGCTCATTTGCATCTCATCAAATAAATTGTATAACTTGAAATGCTTAGATAAACTAACTATAAGATCAATCGTTTCATAGATTACTCTAAGCGGCTTTTTGATCGTTGAAATCCTTTCACTTTCATTAAGTACCCCCCCCCCCCCCCCCCCCCCC